TTGTTATGCCAAAGTTAGTGAAATTATCTATTTTAGATAAAAATCCAAATTTAATCAAAAATAATAATAAAACATCCGCATGGAACGAAAGAGGATAAAAAAAGGAATCGAATGACTAAATAAAATATAGTAGGTGCCATTTGAAACGAAATTATTCGTGTTTGAAGTTTTTAAACTTTGGATTTTTCTTTTGAACGCCCAGTAGGTATTTGATTTGAAACCAAACTGGCCGAAACTAGTGGGGATTAATGAATATGTAGATGAAGATGAGAACATGAGAAATTTAAACTTGATGAACGCACTTCTTGATATATGAAAAAATTCCACTTACCTCTTCGGAAACAGTCGCCGGTGTTACAAGGCTTTACAAATTTTTCAAATCCAATTTGCTTGGACCATTAATACAGTACAGAAAATTAAACGCATAGGGTAGGGATGATGTCGCGATTGCTATTCTATGACTTAATTTCTGCGATGTTTGGTACTGTTTTAATTGTACTTTTTTCTTCTTTGGTTATTATCTTCAGCTACACTTTTAATGAAAGAAATATTTTGAATTTTTGTCCTGTATGAAACCGTTTTGCGTTAGATATTACCGTGTCTTTCCGTTGTAGCGTGTGTTGTACCACAAATTTTGCTGCAATGTCTATTTTTTTAAACTACTCTCTTTTTGATAACTAAAAATTAAATACTTATATATCACTTCCTCCTGAAGTTTACAGGAATTCAATAACAGGTAATTAACTTACGCAAATGTTTTATGGGCAATAAAATACCCGTAATAACAATAATAATAATAATAATAATTCTTGTTATACGGTTTATAAAATTAACTTAAGCTCCGTTTATTTAACGACTGTTAGTAAAATGACGATAAAGATGTTCAATGCCAAGAAATGTAATTTAAGAAGGTATCATTATTAAGACAAGATACGATCGAGAATTATTACTTGAGATACCTCCAAATGTAAGATTAAGAAATGAGTAATTTTAAGGTATGCGCAATTAAATTTAATTAATTGCCTTATAATAATGGTGCTTCTGTTCTTCTCCGTTATTTTAGAGCTGCTGGTGTTAACGTTTCACGTCTTCTTCTGCTAAACAATAAACTAAAATAAACGAATTGGATTTTATGACAACTCAATCATCATGTTTATTTTTCTCAAAATTCTTGATATTTTCTGAAAAATACTAATAGACATTAAACAATCAGAATGTATATATGTACATAGGTAGGAATACTACAAAAAAGTTCCCTTTATTAAATCTTCTACGACCAAAACAAGGGAATTCTATATGACACACACAAGTGAATAAACAATTGAAATGAAATTCCAAACTCTCGTAGTAATAAGAACGTAAGTTAAATGAGTCTTTCAAAAAAAGAAATCCGAGGCTTGTTGAAACGAAAAAATAAAAATAAATTATATTGATCAAAGCATATATAAATAAACCAAAAACAGATTCACCCTGGTAACGAAACACGTGTCTGTACTGAACAGTTTGTGATTAGTAATGTGGGACTCTTTTGTTATTCCTTTACCACTGTCTCCATTAACTAACATCACAAAATTGCAAAGTACTTAAAAAAAATTAGGATTCTTTTTAGTATTAATCTAGTAATCTGAAACTCCTCACAGCCCTATTCCTCATATGTATACTGGAGGTTATTGTGAGTAAAAACGCCAATGTAACATATCAACGCCAAATTTCTTGTTTTAAACTATTTTGTCTTCAAAAGCACCCCTAAATTTAATGCTTTTTAGTGCCTGTGGAATTGCCAACATGCGTAATTATTAAAAATTCTTGACATAAAAAAAATTACATTTTCGCTGTAGGTAATTATCTAGTTGAATTATATTCCGCATGTCGGTAATAGTTTATAGAGCAGTCATTAAATTATAGAATAATTACTTTTGGATACGAAATAGTTGATTACGAAATTTTGGTATGTTGATGTGACAATCACAACTACTACTGATAACGACTTGACTACGGTTGTTGTTAATATACATAATTTGTTTGTAATCTGTGATAGTAAATTTACGGTCAAAACTTCGCACTATAAGATAATAAAATCGTTATGTTTAACTAGTTAACGACATCCCGCTTCGCTGGGTTTACATTTTCTTTTATCGTACCAGACCGGAAAACTCGCAAACATTGTAGGAGAGTCCAAACATTTTTAGAACACTTGTAGAAGTGTATACATGAAAATATCCTAATTTATTAGTCAGAACCTGGCTCCACAGCTAAAACATTTCAGAGCGTTCTGGAGTTTTCCGACCCAGTTCACTCCAGAATGTTCTACTGCAGAACAATTCTAGACATTCGAGAACATCGTAGATGTGAAGCAACTCAGAAATAGTAAGAAACATTCAAGTACATACAGTGACGCAGTCTCACTTATTTCTAAAATGCCCTAATATAGTCCATCCCCACCATTCATGTACAATTGTTCTCGAACATTCCAGATCGTTCTCGATTCCTCGGGTATTATATTTTTTAGAACACTTTTGTCGAAATGTGCCGATACTGGCGACACAGAAATCTAACGGATAAATTACTGTTACCTCTAATACACATCTTTAATTTTCTGTTAAATTCATCCGCTGCGTCAAAATGTGAATCAACCAATTAAAAATTTCATATTTTTTATTAAAAAACTTAACAAAAGGCAACACATAATATCAACAATTAACAACAGTCACAACAATCTTTTAACATCTAAAGGGATACATTTAGTCCCAACCCTTTTTCGATGGAGTATGATGGTAGACATGTTTGTAAACTGGGATTTTGACTGGATAAGGCTTCTTTACTTCAATTGGGTAATGTTTCTCAACTTCTACCTTGAAGGGCTTCTCTACATAGTTAGGAACGATCTTTTCCACAGTTACAGGTACCCTCTTTTCAATTTCTTTTGGTACGAGCTTGTAAATATGAACTGGAATGGGGTGGGGTACCTTAATGTGAACAGGGTAAGGCTGAGGTACTGGTACTTTGATCACATGGGGAACAGAGACCTGTTCAGGTTTTGGTACTTTGAATTCGATCTTTTTTAGAACCGAATAGTAGACTGGTTTCGACGTTTCCACAGTTTTGACGGGCACGTGATAGTGTTGTACTTCCGGCTGAAAGTCTCCCCTGTCCCCGAAACCTTCATGCTCATCTCCCCCACCTACATCAAGACCTCCATCATGGAAAGATTCACCTTCACTGTGCAATGAATGACCAATTTCACTTTCCTGCGCAAGGTGATCGCCTCCATCGCCAGCTTCTTCTAATCCTTCGGCGTTTGACTGATACAGAACAGCCAGTAAAATGAAAATCTTCTAAAAAAAACAGAGAAAATCGAATAATATAAATCATTCCTACGTAAATGGAAAACAAAATTAAATTAAAACAATGTACAATAATACATTACAGTTAATCGACAACGAACTTTTGCTAAATTGAGTAAATGAAGCAGCTTTTTAATTAGTAATTGTTGTTGGCTGACAGCTGTTTCGGTGCTTCTTTTTAAATATGATTTAAATTTTTACCAATCGTTTCCTTTTTTTAATAATGCAGTTAATGTACGAAGATCTATGGTCTTTATTGAAAACAGTTCCAGTTAAGTGTATAAAACTGAGGGTTTTCCGTGCTAATTTTTCTTGTCCTTGTAAGTTAATTTATTTATTCAATCTACGTATTATTAATGATTGCATTACATGAATATTCTTAATTACATTGTAATTTCGGAATTTCTTTCATTGCAATTAGAATTCACAACGTAAAGCAAAATATATAATTTAATATATTTCGAATTTTTAACTTTGAATAATTGAGTTTTACTAAAAACTGTTTGGTAAAAGGGTAGTTAATGTTTTTTATGTAACACTGCTTATTGTTACTTTAAAAATATGCAATTAAAGTAAATCAAATTTGATTAAACTTAACAATTATCTTATTATACTTCATAACACATAACAAAGTAAACTATTATATGTTTAAAAATTTCACCAAATTTCCTTCGAGTTTGAACTTATGCCATGGAAAATAATAAAGTTACTATAAATTTGATTTATAGGTACTAACAAATGGTATCGTATGTAAAATACTTTTAAATTATTTAAAAAAAGCGTATTAATTATAGGTGAAAGCCGGCAAATTTCTCTTTTATCCGTTGACTTATCACTGTTATTAAGCACGAAATTAGTATCGAATAATAACAGCATTAAACGCGTTTTCAATAACAATCGCGGCACAGTTAATCCTCAATAAATGGTAATCCATCACAAAATCACTTCTTCAAGCGTCGCAGATAATCAAAAAACTAACTAAACACACAGAAAACCAGGCCCGCAGACCGTTGGACGAGAGAACGTGAAAGAAAGTAAATCAAACTTCAATACTAAAGAAAGTACTCACAGCTGCGTTCATGATTGTTGGTGTGAATAGGTAAAAAGAAGCAGTGCAAACTGATCTTTTTGGACCTTCTTAGTCTTTTATATCGGAACACTAAGCTGCTTAGTGAAAGGCCCCCCGAGTAAACGTCTCCTCCATAAAAAAATCACCTACATACTCACTTTTATTATGATAATGAACGGTTAAATTAATCAGAGCAGCGATTAGACAAGAAAGGACATACAGACGGGTAAAAGGAAAATCGAATTTTGCCCTGTTCATCGGGACAGACGAAATAATCTATTCGAATCACTTTTACCAACGTAAATGTAAATTCAAGGAAATGTGTCACAAGTACACGACAACAATTGATATTGTCAATTATTATTATTATTATTGTTATTGCAAATCGGACAGCTAAAACATTCCGAAAGGCTGAACCCAGGAAGTGCAACAATTATGAAAGGCAAGATGCATTACAGTAAGTAAAAGTAAAACTATCAGAGCGCCCGGACTTTCTAACGTCAAGCCCTTCGATAATAATTACGTCTGATCTGTAAAGGGGCGATTTATTATTGATAGGTAATTGTTTATTAAACGAGAAAGTGCATACAAATCTATGTACCTGCAAACATATGTAGGTACCTACGTGTATTGAACGTTTTAACTACCTATATACTATTATATATAAAAAATAGAATTTTTTTAGGCGAATCAATAATGAATACCAAAGATAAAAATAAAAGAAAAGAACTGTTCAGAACGTTTTAGTGCTTAATCGAAACCACCAGATGCGAATCGCAAATTTCTGTCTTATTAAATCGCATCAGCGCGAAAAATTACCGATCAAACCGAAGAACCTCTTAAAGAGCGAATAAACTAATTAAACTTTATATAGGACACACTGGTAGACAATTTAAAAAACGAATGCCTGGACATAGAAAGAAATATTTTGAAATCATGTAACCGAAGAAAGGCATAGTTTTAACAATTTTGAAATATTTCACGTAGAGAACAAAGGTTATAAATTAACGTTAAAATTTATGGATAAATAAATATAAAAAGTAAGCATTTTTACTTAATGATCCGAGAGAAGAAATATTACAAAACAAAAACGCGACAAACTTGATTCAATGAAAATTATTTAACATTTCTCTAATAAAACATAGTTTTCAGAAAGTTCATATTTATTTTAGATGATAATGACAAGCAGTTCACCTACTTAAATGAATTATCAGTTGTTTACTTTCTTCAATACGGCCTACCACGATTTTGACCTTTGGTAACAGTGCATACGTAGTAATAATAAAGGGACATGTTAATTTTTTTCAACATTGTAAAGTGAAAGAAGTAGAAGAAAAGTTTGAAGTAGGTAAAACCGATGAGGCGTATAATATAATTAAAAGGAATTTTAGAGAGGTAGAATACAGTATTAATAATATAAGAAACGAGGCAGGGGTCATTTTGATAGAAAATGAGGAAAAAACAGATAGGCGGAAAGAATATTTAGAGAAGCTATACTCAGGCCATGAGTTAGGAGATATATTAGAGAAGGAAGGTAGTGTGGAGATAGATGAGCTTGGTTATCCCATAATGAGTGAAGAGTTCGATGTAGCATTAAAAAGCTTAAAGAATAATAAGGCGCCAGGTGTAGATGGAATACAGGGGGAAATTCTAAAACATGCAGGTGAAGAGGTTAGAGATGGTATGTTTAAGCTAGTTAGTCACATTTACGAGACGGGGAAAGTCCCAGAGGATTATAATCGGAACGTAGTAGTAACATTACCTAAAAACAGGGGCGCGCATAGGTGCGAGACATTTAGAACAATTAGCATAACTTCCCATGCGTCAACAATTTTAACTAGAATTGTACTGAGGAGGATGGCATATTTAGAAAAACCTTTTGACAATGTTAAATGGGACAAGATGTTAAATATACTTAAAAATGTAGGGATGAGTTACAAAGATAGAATAGTGATACTTAGTTTGTATAAAGAGCAACAGGCAGTTATAGAGCTAAATTAGAAGAAGTGGCTGATTTTAGATATCTAGGAAGTCAGATAAGTCCGGACGGAAGGAGTAGCAGGGATATAAAGCAGAGGATAGCGCAGGGTCGTGTCGCCTTTAATAAAAAGAAGTCACTTCTATGCTCGCGAACGGTTAATTTAGAAATTCGATAAAGGTTGTTAAAGGTGTATGTTTGGAGCGCAGCGTTGTACGGATGCGAAACATGGACAGTGGGCGCGGCGGAAAGGAAAAGGTTAGAAGCCTTCGAAATGTGGTGTTATAGGCGAATGATCAGGATAACGTGGATAGAAAAGGTTAGAAATGAAGAGATATTAGAAAGAATAGGAGAACAGAGGAATCTATGGAAGTCAATAAAAAATAGGCGAGATAGGTTGGTAGGACACCTTCTCAGGCATGAAGGTCTAGTCAGAGACATATTAGAGGCAAAAACAGGAGTTAAGAGGGGTGGAGCTAGACCTAGGTTAGATTACTGTTCACAAATAGTTAAGGATGAGGGTTGTTCTAGTTTTAGGGAAATGCGAAGTTTAGCTCAGGATAGGAAAGAGTGGAGGTACGTTTCCAACCAGTCTTAGGACTGACGAACCTATGACGATACTTCCAATGCTTTTGTTGAGATGACAGTTTTTCCGTTAAGTAGTAGGTAAGTCCTGACCTATTAAATATTAAATCCGTATATACAATTTTCTTAATCTCTTGGTGTTTACGTACCGACACGGCAAAAAGTATTGTTCATATTTATTATATAATTCTATGTAAATGGAAACACATATTTTATCCGTTCATTCGAATATTTTTCCTGTTGAAATGCAAAAGAAAACATTCAGAACCGGTCGTAGAGACTGTTAAAACCGGATCAGCTTCCGGCTCTCGTAGTATAATCGTATGTAATTCAACTAGGAACAGATAAAATGAATTTGAAATTAAATAAGCAATCTGCGGAAATGCGAGATTGTGAAATAATATGAAATTTACTTGGATTGTGTATCTGAAATCGACACAGAGCGCAAAGTAATTACTGCGTCGTTTACTCAGCAAAGGAATAAACAGACAGGAAGGAAATAGGTACAACTTTAATGGAATTACGAATGGAAACAGCAATCTAAATATTTCAGCCGAAGGTTTTTGTTAGGGTATATCAACGTAATTAATTCGAACAGATTTTCATTGCTAGTTTTTTCAACCTGTTTCTAAAAGGGAAGAGGTTCTCAATTCGACTCTATTTTTTTCCAGTTGTGAACCGATTTTAAGGATTTATTTTGTGTCAATGAGGGGGGGGGGTCTTTTTTAAATTCAAAGGAAATATTCTAAGGGTGGAAAATTAGAGGCTGATAACAATAATGTGGAGAAAGTTATTTCAGTCGGATCTTTCTAACTTTCTGTGGAATTTTGGAGTTTTAAATATTTATTTAGTTACCTTTCACAGCACTCAATTATATTTTGTGTATTGATTTTTTATTACATCAGTATATTTAAATTATTCTAAAGAAGTTTACTAAAGACAATCAATAAACATTTATAATAATATTTTACAAATTTTTAATTGCCGTTTATTTAGGTATCATTTATTTAAAAAACAATTCTTTTATTACAGAGTAGCTTTTGACTTGATCTCTGTCATGTCAAACACGCGGCCCAAATATTGATAACTTGCTCTGCAACAAATGTCAAATATCTTCTAAAAAGTAGTAGTAAACTGTGATTTCGTTTATTATAATTTTTCTTTTAGTTTTTTTTTAATTGATTTTCCTCTAATAGTTTTTCCGGCATTTTTTTCATCTTTCTCTGCACAATTCTGGTTTTCTGACGCATCCGCACCTCCCTTTTTAGATATACCTAATTACTACCACATTCCGTTTATAATCGTCCGGGACTTTTCCCGTCTCGTAAATTTGACTAACTAGCATCTATTAAACTACCGGAAAATTTATAATTATTTTCACTAAATATTTAATATGGTTATATAGAAACTGCTTGCTAACGAGCTTCTGGGGAGGTCCGTTTTTAACGCCCCGACCATCCATAGGTCTACCCTTGTTCCTATTAGCATTGCCACGTTAAAGAGTGGTTACTATACCACTTATAATCCAGGCAAATTATATCTGACCCTATATTAAAAAATGTGTAATTCGTTCATAAAAATATTAGTGAAAAATATGTAGTTTGAATAACCGTCAAGTGTGTTAAAATTTGAGTGGCGGAACATTAGTTAATTTAATAATTTATAGCGTGGCGTGAAAAACTAGCAATGTAAAGAAAATGTTTCATACAAAATTTGTAGGTATTTGAGACCTTTCAAATTAGTTGAGTTTTATTAAAGTTACGCAATCTTAATAAATCATAGCTAGTTTTAAAGGTCTTTCAAATACTTATATCTTTAGTTTGAATTCAATTTTTGGCGCACTCGACGGTTTTTCANTTTCCTCTAATAGTTTTTCCGGCATTTTTTTCATCTTTCTCTGCACAATTCTGGTTTTCTGACGCATCCGCACCTCCCTTTTTAGATATACCTAATTACTACCACATTCCGTTTATAATCGTCCGGGACTTTTCCCGTCTCGTAAATTTGACTAACTAGCTCAAACATACGATCTCTGACCTCTTGTCCTACATATTTTAAAATGTTCGCCTGTATCCCATTTATACCTGGTGTTTTATTATTCTTTAGTTTTCTAATGTGACATCGAACCCATCTCTAATTATGGGATAATCTAGTTCATCTATCTCCACACTATTATAAAAAATAACGTTAAATCTAAAATGTATATGTATATGTATATAATAATATACAATAAAATGTATATATTTAATAACCAGTGAGTCTAAAGAATATATAATATAATCATTCTAGCAATCGTTTTTTATTAATTTTTTGAACAGTAAAAACATGGTACAAAATAGATCATGTGGTCCCCAATATAGAGGTACGCTACCCTCTAGCGCCGAAAATGTATAATATGGAGGGTTGTATGTACCCTTTAGGGCTTTTGATTGAGATGATTTGAGCATCTCTCTGTACTAACTGTTAGGTGCTT